GGGACCACACCCCGAGCATCACTGAGTTCTAGTACCCCCTGCAAGCCCTGCTGGGATTCCTGGCGAGTGACCGTGGAGGGAGAATGGGTACAAAGCCATCCGCAAAGGGGCCTGCTCAGATGGCACAAACAGGGCTGTGTGCCCCAGCGGGCCTGCGGCAGAGTTACAGCAGGTGAACTGCCCTGAGTGACGGCTGTTGCCCATGAGTGCCTGAGCCCATGCCATCTGCCTGGGTCACTTCTGTCAGGAGCCACGCGGAGCAAGGAGAAGCCTGCATAGCTCACGATGGGGCAGCCAGTGCTCAGCAAGCCCTGGCTGACGAGGAGAAGCAGCGGCCCTGATGTAACCGCCTGGGGCGGCTCCGCGGTGCCCTGGCAGTCTGGGCCCCAGCGGCTCTCCCCACCTTGAGCCCGGCCGGCCGGCAGGGCTGGGTGTGAGTGTCCTTTCCAAAGGGCATGGTGCTTCAGAAGCGTGCCGTCATGGCGTCACTGGACACGGCCTCTGGCACCTGGCTGGAGTTCCCAGAGTTTCGAGCTGTTTCTTGGAGCATGCGGAAGGCTGATGGGGAACAGCTGAGCCGATGGCTCTGCACACTCGGAAAATAAATCCTGGCTTCCGAAGAAGCTGCAGAAAATTGATTTTTCGCAGCTTCATTGCTCGTCCTGAAGGATTTGGTGGGCCCATTTCTCACCTCCCCCTCCTCTGCGTGACTGGGTCGGCTGTTCCCCGAGCTTGATTCGGCGATGGAGAGGCCTGGGGCAGCACCTGTCCCTCTTGCTTGCACCCCTGGCTACCCTGTGGCAGCAGAAAGGGGAAGGGGCCCTGCTTCCTCAACTTACCTTTGTGTCCAGCTGTCTCCTGCCTGTGGCTCATCTTCTGGGCCCGCTGCCGTGGACAGGGAAGGTGTGGTGATCACACAGCCAAGCTGGGATTAGGGCATTTGTGCAGGGCTGCAGCTGTGGGCCTCGGTGTCTCTGGCGTGGGAGGCACGGCTGGAGTAGGTACCTCTTAGGGCTCGGTCTCTGCAGGGCTGTCCAGTCCCCCGGCGAGGCGGTGGAAGAATGGTGGGGAGTCCGCCGGTGGCCAGATCAGGGCCACCGTAGCCAGGCTGGGAACAAGGGCTGACCCTTTGGCATCTTTCGTCTATATGTGTAGAGAGGGAACTTAACCCAGGCCCCAGGGAGCTGAAGATTCCCACAGCCAGGGAGGAAGCCACCACTCCAGACTGACAGCTCTGGCGTCCCGGCTGGCCCTGGATGATTTAATGGAAAACTTGGCCGGGGTGCTGCGAGGCAGAGCCGTGACCCCTTGGGGAGTGTCTCAGTCTAAAGTCTGTCCCAGGGACAAGTGGCCTGGGCACATCTCTGAACGTCGCCAGTCCCCAGTGGAGAGACTAACTGTTCCCTCGCTGGGCTGCTGTGAGAGCCCCGGGCCTGGTCTGTGTGTGGAGCTGGGAATTCGTGTAAGAGGGGTCTGGGTGACCTGCGGTCACTTGTATTATGGTTTGGACCTGGGAATGGGCTCGCCTATTCTGGTGGTCCTTGCTGATGGGCACGTGGGTGTCTTCCCAGCAGGAGCTTTGTCTGGCATCACGGGAACGTTTGCCCTTGCTTGGATTGTCAGAAGGAGCGGAACTGAAGTCCCAGCCCCGAACATGGGGCTCCTTGGAGGTTCGCATGGCCAGGCTCCTGAGGGGTAGGGAGTATTTCCTTCCTCTTGTCTTGTCTGCAGTGGCAGCGCTGGTCACTCCTCCCTGGGCCATGTGAACACCGGTTCAATTCCCAGCTGCTCCCCTTCCAGACCAGCTTCCTGTCCTGCAACTTTAAAAGATGGGGAAGATGGCTGGAGTCCTTGGCCCCTGCCACCCAAGTGGGAGATCCACTCGGAGCTTCCGGCTCCTGGCTTTGGCCCGGCCATTGCAGCCATTTGGGGAGTGAACCAGCTGATGGAGGATCTTTCTCTCTGTCTCTCCCTTGCTCTGTAACTCTGCCTTTCAAATAAATTAAAAAAAAAAATTTAAGGATACTCCTGGGGGAATTCCAACAGGTTTTGGGAAAATGCACACTCTGTTTTAATTCCATTTTATGTAACTTTTTGAAGCTCCTGTATACAAAACCAAGGTAGTTTTTTTAGGAAAAAAGTGAAATGGGGGCCCTTGTAAGCCCAGCTCAGCCCAGAGTTAGAAATGATAGCAGCCAGCACCGCGGCTCACTAGGCTAATCCTCCACCTTGCAGCGCTGGCACACCGGGTTCTAGTCCCGGTCAGGGCGCCAGATTCTGTCCCGGTTGCCCCTCTTCCAGGCCAGCTCTCTGCTGTGGCCAGGGAGTGCAGTGGAGGATGGCCCAAGTGCTTGGGCCCTGCACCTCATGGGAGACCAGGAGAAGCACCTGGCTCCTGGCTTCAGATCAGCGCTGTGCACCGGCCGCAGTGGCCATTGGAGGGTGAACCAACAGCAAAGGAAGACCTTTCTCTCTGTCTCTCTCTCTCACTGTCCACTCTGCCTGTAAAAAAAAAAAAAAAAAAAAAAAAAAAGAGAGAGAGAGAGAGAGAGAGAAAGAAATGATAGCAACGGAATGATGATGCTGGTGTCCCAAATGTTGTTTCCCTTCAGTTCAGCCTGCTCAGGGCTTACTTGCTCTGGTGTTTTGTATACCAGGGGCCTGCCAGAAGCTCACAGTAAAGGTGGCTTAGGAAAAACTGCATGGGTTTCAAAGATGTTTGCACCAAAACGCACTTAGCTTTTAATTCCGTTTTTCTGCAGGCACTCTGCAATTCCCTTGTGTGTGGCCTGTTAATGTCACTAGGGATGATCATCACCACCAAAATAGCTCCCCTCTGCCGAGTTCTTAATTGCAGACGCTGCACTGAGCAGCTTCATGCGCGCAGTTCTGTTTAATTTTCTCAAGGATGCTGTGGGCCATCTTGAAGGTAGGGGGCAGCTTGGGGGTGGGATGGGGAGTAGCAGAGAAACCGGTCTGACATCCACACGGGGTAGGCGGGCCAGCCAGCCTCTGAGGCTCTGGGCTCAGACAGAGCCCATGTACCCTGAGAGGACCATTCCTTGGTGCCTGTTTGCACCTGGGCTGGAGCAGATAAGCAGGGGCACCAACGCTTTCCTCCTTGTGGGACGAGGATGGTCCAGGTGGCGAGAAAGGATGATGGCTCCAGGGCCTGCCTGTCTGGTCCGTCCCACATCCGAACAGCAGCGATATGCAGCCAAGTGGTCCTCTCCACGTCCCTATGTCTCCACCTCTGTGCGGTGGGGATGCCAATGGTGCCTCCTCCAGGGTTGCTGAGGGGCCCGCGTGCAGCCTCTGAGGGCGCCGTAGATACGCGATCTGTGGTGGTGGCTACGTCACGGCTGTCCCCTGGGCCTCCTCCCAAGGTCCACACCAGGTGGAGCAGGAAGCTGTAGGGGTCAGTACAGTGATAGTGTCATGGAGATGCCCAGCAAGCATTCACTGGATGGAGTTTACCAGTGGCTTGGGGGTCTCTGGCCACAATTAATTTCCCTAACCAGGACCCTTCCCACCACCTCCTGCCGGGGTGGGGGGGAGGTCAGCCTGCAGTGGGGAGCCTGCCACTCCTCTACGTGGGCCAGTGTACCTGGCAGGAGGGTCACGGTCCTGCAGACCCAGCCCAGCTGGAGCAACGGGCGATGGGCTTCTGCAGAGGCCGGTGGGGGCGGGCCCCAGCTCTGGATGCAGTGGGGTAGGGTGGTGGAGAAGCTGAGTTCTGAGTGGTGGGGGCTCCTCCATGTGGGGGTGTGCGTGGTGCAACCCGAGCCCTCCCCCAGCCTCCTGGGAAGGGGCTTGCAGGCAGCGGGGCCAGCCAGCGCAGGAGGCTGCCGAGTCTGTCAAGGTTAACAGATAGTCCTTGGCTCTCCCCTAGGAAGTAATTCAACTTCCCCCTGACTTAGGCCACATTGTTCCAGAGCACGTGGTATAAACTACTGACCACTGGGGAATTGCTTGAATTAACAAACTCATTTTTCCCGAGACCTGAGCTTGAACTTGAGTGAGGAGTTCTGGGCTCTTTTGCAGAAATCCAATAGATCAGGAGAACTCATGTTACACCGAGTTTGCAACCTTGATCAAATGCACATTTTTGCCTGCTGGGGCCTTCTCCCTGCCTGTGCTGTTGTAGCTGCGCCAATGGCTGGAGCCGTGGCAAACCAGGGCAGTGGCTGGCACTGGAGCTGGACCTTGGGAGAGCTGTGCTCCTCCTGGCTCAGAAGGGATGTTGGCATGTCTGTCTGTCTGCTGTCTTCTCCCCCTCCCCCATACCCACCCTTCCAGGTGCCCTTTACCGACAAAGAAAGGGCATGATGGTTGGACTTGAGAAATCCCAGGTTCTGGGCTGAGTCCCAGGACCCCCTCAGCTTTCTTCTGAGTCTCACCTCTGCCTGCGAAGACTCTGGGGTCTACCTCCCCTCCACAGGGACCACCGCAGAGCCCCAGGATCCATGAGGAAGAGGCGGTTCTCTCCCTGCTCTGGCTCTGTCCATGCGGCCCGTGTACAGGCCGGGGGTAGCTCCACTCCTTACAGGAGCCAGTGTGTGTGCAGGAGGTGCAGAGACACCCCACCCACCCACCCAGTGACAAGGGTTCCCTGTGTGACATAGGCTGTGGGCAAGAGGGGCCTCAGGGAGTTCTGATAAATAGTGTAGGAGCCCTGGAGGAGGCCCAGGAGTGAGATGAGAATCGTTTTTGCCAGACTGACATGGACCTTTCTAGAAAACAGCATTGCTCCCTGAGTCACATGCCCTACCCTGTGCACACTGTGGGCTCTGTTTTGAGGCAAGGCTGTGTGGCCCAGCATCCTGGTCACTGGGGAGCTCTGTACCTCCAAATGCAGAGACCCACCCGGACCTACCCATCAGTGAGCCTTGGTGGAGTCTGGGCGTCTGCAGCTACAAGCCCCCAGAGTCCTGTGCTGTGCTGCTGGACTGGACCCAGAAGACCCTCCCCCAGTGCGGGGCTGGCCCTCGGTAGCCTGTCGCTTCCCTGACAGGTGCAGGAGGGCCATCCAATAGACTCATGGGCGCTCCCTGGGATCGGTGCACCTGTGACCCAGCTGCAAACCCCTGACTCAGCTCAGGCCAGAGGAGGCGAGTCCTGGGAGAAGCTGACTCCAGGTGCAGTGTGCTGGCCTCTCTGTGCCTGGGGGTGGAGGGCCCTCTCTTCTCTCTACGTCACTGGCCTTGCCCTTGGTGTCTGTTTCTTCACCTGGGGAGAACCAGAGGCCAGCAGCTGTGGGAGACACCATGGGTTTTCATCTCTATCTGCTGCTCTATAGTTCTCTCAGAACCCAAAGTGGAGGGCAGGGACTAATAGGCCCAGCTCAGGCGTGGGGGGCAGCCCCTAGAGGGTTGCCTCAGGTGCAGGTGGCTGCAGACACACACAATGTGGCTGGGGTGGCTTAGATGGGTAGCATGAGGGGTGGGCCTGGGGTGGCCATTGCCTGGCTGCCCTGGTCGTCTTGTGCTAGGGAATGGTTTGGACAGAATTCTTCAGCTGCATTGTCCTGTGAGGCGCTGGGCGCTTGTGGCTCCTTGAACACTGGGTGGAAAGTGTAGAACTCTGTGAACCGGGACAGGGACTCAGACCTCAACCAGATGCTCCTGAAGACACCCCCGGCCCCCAGTCCCATTAACACCCAGTGGCCGCTGGGGCTTTGTGGTTCAAACGACGTCTTGTGTCCTCTGCTGTGGTCAGTCAGGTGGCCTTGCTTGGGGTCATCAAAGGACCGAGGCAAGGTCATCAGAGCCGTTGTCATCCCTGGCCATTTCCTGGTGCTACTGCCACCGCAGGCTCCTCCAGGGAGCTTGTCACGTGGAAGAGGTGTGCAGGGGCAAGACAAGAGGCAGTTCAGTGTCTGCTGCATGTGCTGCGAGGGGTCACTTGTGTCCCCTGTGCTGGCATCAGAGCCCAGCGTGGAACAGCCGTGCTGGCCTGCTGCGGTCTGTGTCTGCAGGGGTGAGGACCCTTCTTGCTGGCTCGGTTGCGGTAGGGGTGTCGCGGGTCCAGCCGACAGTGTTCTGTTCGTGGCTTCCTGCCTGAGGCGAAGCCAAGCTTCCAGGGCTTGCTGGGGTTCTCCTTAGAGGCCAGAGCCGGCAGTGATTGGCGGCCGCACCTTCCAGGGCAGCTGTCACCCAGGTGCTGGTTATGTGCCGCAAGGCCCCGGCGGAGCCACGCCAACACGCCTGCTTGGAACACGCCAGGAAGGTGCCTCCTGGTGGCGGCTGTGGTGCCGACTCATGTGTACTGTTTATGTGGCTAGCAGGCTTCCTGACGGAGGCCGACGTTTACGTGCTATAAAAAGTCCATTAACGGAGCTGCTCCGGGGGTCTCGGGGACTGATGCACGCTCGTCAGGTGACGGGAAGGAGCTGAAGACTCCAGGGAGCCCACGTGCGGGGCCCTTCCTGGGGCGGGGGAGGCGCGCTGTGCTGATGGAGTAGGAAGCCGGGGGAGCGAGAGGATGACGCCGGGCCAGTGCGTGCCTCCTGAGGCTGGGGGGCGAAGGTTGGGCTCTTTCTGGGTGAGTGTTGGGTGCATTTTGAATGCCAAGAACACAGCTGCAATCCGCTGTGGTGGAACGAGAGTTCTGTTCTTTTTAAAGGTCGGAGTTTCTCAAATTCCCTTCCTGCCTTTAAAAATCAGGGTTCAGAAAGCTTCCGCGTTTGCTTTCCCGCTGCGGACTGCACCACGTTGAGAATCAAGACAGGTTCACGGTTGCCTGAGATCCATACAAAGCCCGTGTGAAGGTGGGCTTTGCGCTCAGGCAGGGACCTTAGGCTCATCCACCAGTGGGCTCCCTCTGCTGCCCTGAGACTGCCAGGTGCCCCGGCCTGGGTGGGCGCCGGGCTTGTTGGAAGCAGTCTCTGCTGCATGCCGGGGCTGTGGCACAGCTTGCGTGGGGGCTGCGGTTTCTCCTCCAGTGCCTGACCTGAGGCAGCCATGGCCCAGCCTTCCCTGCTGACCCCTCCCTGGCCTCCTGGACGGTGTCCCTCTTGGGCTCCTTATGATGCAGTCCTTGACCTTGGGAGCTCCTGGGGCAGGCGTGAGCCCCTCTTTTCTGGAGCCTTTTTCCCAATCACTGTTGAGCTTAGGGAAGATGCACATGAACTGAGCCCTGTCTCAGCACAGAGTGAGGTGGGGGGATGGAGGAGGACTTGCTGGATTACAGGAGACGGAACAGAGCCGCGGGAGGAGCAGCGGCTAAGCAGGCGGGGGGCCTGAGCTTGCCTGGCTCTGCCACTCCCCACTGTGAGCTTGGTGGGTGTGACTCTTCCGAGCCCCCACTCGTTCACCTGTGAAATGGGGTGATGGCGTCCGTCTTGAGAGCTTTGTGCATGTGACAACTGTGGACTGCTGAGCCGGGCACAGAATGCATGCGGGCAGGTTTGTGCCACCAGGGTCTGAGTCCTGCTGCACAAGAGTGACCTTGACGTTTACAGCTGCCCAGTGGCTGTCTCAGCCCCCCTTGTCTGTGGATGTGCCATCAGCTCCCTGAGTGACGTCCCTGGTCCCAGGCACCGGGCTGAGGCAGGCAGTGGTGAGGCTTGTGTGATACGTGCTCTCTCAGCAGCCAACCTGCGGGCTGAGTGCTAACTGGTTGCTGTCTACACGTCGAGGATGCAATGATCTCAAGACGACCCCATTCCAGATTTGGGGAATTCGGGGAGAAGGGCTGTGGAGTGCACCTCCTGCCCAGGTTGTCCCGGGAGTCCGTCCAGCCTTCTGATAGCTAGCAGGCCCCAGGAACTAGCCCGGCCGTGCAGCTCAGCCCGGCCCTGACCCCAGGCCCCGAGCCCCGCGGGTGCCCCGCTTGTCACGCACAGTTCCGTCAGGGCCGGCTCCCCGGGTCCCGGGGCTGCCCTGTGAGCCTCTGAGCCCCGCGCGGAGCACAGCGAGTTATGCAATGCTGCTGAGCCAACATTTACGAGTCGCAGCCAATTTGCTGGGCCGGAGTTACACTGTGCAGATGCTCTGCGTCACGGCTCGCTTTTGTCTCGGAGGCCGTAAGCAGATAGCATAACCCCGCTTACCATTAGACGTTTCGCAAATCATCTGGGCCCGAGCGTGCTGCAGCCAGACAGTTCATTTATGCTGCGAGTGCTATGATTTGTAAAGTAATAAATTTCCCATCTCTCTGCCAGCAATAAAGTACAGCAAGCAGGCGAGGCCAAAGCCCTCCAAAAATAGGCTGGCTCCCAGCGAGACCTGGAGGAAAGCTCTTTCGGGTTCTGCATTGCTCTGTTCCTGAGTTCACGGGATTCTGGGAAATCAGGTTTGGCCCATAAATCCCCTCTACTGTCTGGGTGCCCCTGGGCCCCAGCACGGACTTGTGCTCGGCATGTGTAATTGGCCTGCACCGTGACGCATCTGTCACTTCCCGGGCCCCTCCGGGCTCTGGCAGTGAGGGGAGGGTCTCAGCACACGCCGGAAGGATGGGTGTCTGTGACCGTGCCTCCCCTCCTGGTGGCGTCAGGGCTGCTTCTCGTGGGATGTCAGGACCCACCGTGATGGGGGCGGGTGCTGGCGGAGCAGCTGTCAGTCTGCCTTGAAGGCAGCAGGGCCCAGCGCTGCAGCAGCCGGGGGGGGGGGGGGGGGCTCTGTGTCTCCAAGGGGGCTGCTCTGAGCAGAAGCTCAAAGGCAGAATTGGAGTGAGACTGAGCATGGCTCAGTCCTAATTTCCTTCTTTCTTTAACAATTTATTTGAAAGGGAGAAAGAGAGGCCTTCCATGTACTGGTTCACTCCCCAAGTGCCCACAGCAGCCAGGGCTGTGTCTGGCCAAAGCCAGGAGCTGGGAACTTGGTCTGGGTCGCTTATGTGGGTAGCAGCTCTTACCTGCTACCACCCAGGCTGTGCATTGGAAACCAGGAAGCTGGAGTCAGACACGGAGCTGGGCCTTGAACCCAGGCCTCCTCCTGGCCTGGGAGACCTCCCTGGGATCCTGGAGGCAGCGCACAACCGGGGCCCCATGGGCGGCAGCATCGAAGGTGATGTTTCCAGGCCTGGCTCTGGCGAATGAGAGGCGAGGAGGAAGGCTGTTGAGGACGTAGGAGAGTCCACGCTGGGCACAAGAGAGGAAGATGGGAGTCTGTGACCATGTTCCCTGGAGGGCAGGCAGCGTGGTGGGGCCGACCCACGCCGGGGGAGGAAGCTGCTTGTTGCTATCTTCAGCTCATTGGAGCGAGGCGAGGGCTGGAGGATGAAAGTGTGGCTGGGACCGAGTGGGCAAGGCGAGGAGGAAGCTGCAGAGGAAGATGACCTGGAGCTGGGCCCAGGCTGCGGGGCGGGGGTCTCAGGAAGGGGGCCCAGGACCGAGTTGCTTCTCCTGCCACTGTGGCGGGAGGACCTGGGTTCCAGTCACGTGGGAGCACCGGGGAGGCTGAGCGGGCACTGGCGGGGGCTCCTGGAGTTTGGGGGGACATCACGGTTGCTCTTCTCTCTCCAGCACAGTGGCCCGTGCTCACTGAGCAGATAGTGTGCTCTGGGCACTCTGGGGGCCTTCGTGCACAGTAGCTCTGTGACTGCAGCTCAGCCATGATAAGTGACTTGCCCGTGTTCTCAGCTGGGCTGAGCCAGGGCTCTGGGCTGACCCCTGCTATGTGGCAGGGTGTGGCACACAGCCAGAGCCAGTGAGTTAGCAGCTGGGCCCAGGGCTGCACATCTCAGAGCTCGCCGAGCGTGTCTGGCTTCCAGCTGAGCCGTCCCGTCCCGTTGCCTTGCCTGGGAAAGGCCGCTGCTGGTGGGGGGTGGTCTCGGGTTGGCCACACCCTTCCCCCAGCTCTGGAGCCCTTCAGGCCTTGAAGAAATGATTGAGTCACGCATTCTCCTTGGGTTTTGGTGATTTGTGAGTCATGTGTGTGAGGAAGGCAAGACACTGACTCATGCTGATTTCATAAGTCTGTGAATCCGTCTACAGCGGCAGCCCACTCCGCGATGGCCGCCGGCGCCAGGACTCAGAAGTCGCCGCATTCCACCAGGCTGCAGCCAGTCCATCTCCCTGGCCTTGTTCTCCTGATCTGAGCTGAACAGCGTGAGACGCGGGGGCTGGGGAGAGGGAGAGTAAGTGCTTTGTGCTCCCTGAATTCCTGAGGCCTCTGTGTGACAAGGGCTGCTGGGACTTCCGTAGTCTATCTTGGGCCCCAAGAGCCACCTGACTGTGCCCCAGTGCCTGAGCGATGGGGTAATGTGGGCCAGTGGCCTTTCTCTGGGCACCAAGATCAAGGTCGGCTGTAGCCAGCTTGGCTTCTCCGGCCGTGTCAGGACTGACACGCTAGGGTAGGCCCATGAACTGCAGGTTACCCATGATGAATAAATGAAGGTGAGAGGTGGTGCCCAGGGGAGCGGAGAACGGGCCACACGGCCCACAGGGAATTCCTGAGCCCTGGTATACATATCCCGCAGGGGATACCTGATACACTGAGCGCTGGGCTCGGTCCTGTTGGTGCATGGTCTGCGCTCACTCCCCTTGCATCTCTGCTCCAGGTGCTTGGGGAAGAGGGATGCGCAGATGAGGGTAGCACCTGCCAGGGGTGGCGCCCAGCTGGCGTCGGTTCTGGCTGGCAGTCCCAGTTGCAGAGCCCCGATTGCTTTCAGAAGTTCCTTGTGTGCAAGGAGGGGCCCAGCTGGGAATGCCGGGTGCCCTGTGTGAAGTCGGAGGCCCTGGCGCTCTGGTCTCCTTTCTGGGTGAGTCGTGTACCCCACCCCACCCCCCCATAGCTCCTGAGTTCCCAGTCGTGGGTGAGGCTCAGAGCCGGCTCCATCCGGAGACCCAGGGTTCTGCCTTCATGAGCGTGGTGCTTGGGTCGAGCACATCTCCTCTCCCCTTCCTGCGTTCATCCATCCACCCACAAGTGCTCATTAAAGGTGCTGCGCGTGTGAGTCACTCAGCATCACAGCTGCCCCGGTACCTGTCTGTTTGCAGGATCAGAATCAGTGTCATCGCCGTTACCTGGCGTCTGTCACACGCCAGGCAAGAAGGTGGGGAACGATGGTGCAAATAATCCGGGATGGTGGAGCTTCACTCCTCGTGCCTGCTGATGGGGACCCTGGGGGCCCTGAGAGTTGTAGAGACGTGAAAGGGGTGGGGGTATCGCAGTGAGGCTGTGGCTAAGCCAAGTGGAGAGCCCTGGGCTCCTTCTGCTGTAGTGTGCAGCCCTCATCCTGGGATGGCATGGTCTGAGAGGGCTTCTTGGAGGAGGTGGGTTTTGACATAAGCCTGGGAGTATGAGTGGAGCTGCAGGAGAGGAGAGGGGAGAAGGCCAGGGCACATCCTGTTCGGGAACACAGGAAGACGAGGATCTGGAAGAAAGACCACAGGTGTCCCCGTGGCACTGTCACAAGTGTTCTGAGGCCTCATTGCCCAAATCATTCCCTGTCACTGCAGCGGGTGCTTCTTCCCAGCACACCCTGGGGCCGGAAGCTTGGTCTGCCTCCTCCCCCGGGCTCTTGCCAGGATACCCATGGGCCCAGGTGGAAGGCATGGGCTGGGCGTGGATGTGGAAGGCCCCACCTGGGGAGGGAGCTCATTCCGGCGTGACTAGCCATTGGCCCCCTTGGGTTAGTTTCCTGGAGCTGGTTAGCCAGTGGCCGCCAACCCGCTGGCTTGTGGCCGTGGACGTGTGGTTTCTCACGGCTCTGGAGAGCAGAAGTTCCACACCTGGGTGCTGACAGGGTTGGTTTTTCCTGTAGGCGCTGGGGCGGCATCTGTCTGTGCCTCTCCCGCGGACCCTGGTGGCAGCCTCTGCCTTCACTTGGCTCGTGGCTGTGGAACTCCAGTTTTTGCCTCCACCTGCCCACGGCCCCCTCCTCTCTCTCTGTCTTACCAGCTTCTTAGACAACACGTCTCAGGATTCAGGGAGAACCGGATTGAGCACCTGCGTCCCACGTCAGAGGGCTTGGTTTGAGTTACATCAGCTGCACGCTTCTGACCCAGGTTCCTGAAGACGTGTCCGTGAAGTAGCAGGTGACGGCCCTGGTAGTTGGGTGCACACTGCCAGCTGTGTGGGAGACAAGGATGGAGCTCCAGGCCTGGCTGTTGCAGGTGTTTGGGGAGTAAACCAGCATGTGGAACAGCCCTCCCTCCCTTCAAATAACTCTACCCTTCAAATAAAGAAATAAGTCTTTCTAAAAAAAAATCGCTGGTTACATCAGCAAGACCCCTTTTCCAAGTAGTTATGAGCACGGGCATGAGCACGGGGAAGGGGCACCGGCCCACTTGTTGTACCCCTGAAGCACTGCACGAGTGCGCGCTGAAGGTCACAGGGAGTTCTGCTTGGGCTGGCTTGGGTGGGACTGCTGCCCTGGGGCACTAGGACAGTTCCCGGGAGCCTTGGGCGGTCGGGCCATTCTGAGAATGAAGTGATGGTTGGAGCCATGCGGCATCCAGCAGGGGCTGCAGGTGGACTGTTCTATGCTGGGGGGCGCCCACGGCGACCGTGGCTCCCGGGGCTCATGCACGGATGCTCCAGGGCGGAGCCTTCCGTGCTGATGGAAACACGCTTGAAGCCCCGGGCTGTGACTTCCGGCTTTCTGCATCCCTTGAGCTTTAGAAATTGCCACTCTGTGGCCATGCAACTGAAGGATTCAGTATTTACTTCTGTCTCACTTAGGCTCACTAAACTTCACCTTGAAGGGGCTGTGTGATGGGCGGCTGCCATGCTGGACGGCACAGGTGTGGAGTGTCCTGATGGGACTCGCTTCTGCTGGTCTGTTCTTGGTTTCTCCATCAGAAAAAAGTACTTGGGCGGTTTGTGTGTGTGTGTGTGTGTAGTGTTGAAAGGGTTGACTTTCAGCTTAGGCCGGAGGCTTGAAGGAGCCAACAGCCGTTGGCCCCCTCTCTGAGTCTGGTGGAAGCGTTCTTACGGAGCCTCCATGACTCAGTGGCCCGGTGGTTAAGCTGGAGAAGCCGCTGGAGGGGCCGGGGTGCAGCCTGTGGTTGCTGGGGTGAGAGCGCCACATGGCACGGCTTCTGAGAGCTGCAGGAAGGGGCGAGAGCCCCGTGGACACCACGGCTCATGTTGAGGGGTCCGTGAGTCTGGGGATCTGTTTTTTAAAATATTTATTTATTTTTACTTGAAATTGAGTTACGTGCACACACACACACGGTGGGGGGGGGGCGTGGAGTGGGGAGAGAGAGAGAGAGGTCTTTCATCCGCTGGTTCACTCCCCAAATAGCCGCAGCGGTCAGAGTTGCTCTGATCCGAAGCCAAGAACCAGGAGCTTCCTCCAGGTCTCCCACGCAGGTGCAGGGGCCCAAGCACTTGGGCCGTCTTCTTCTGCTCTCCCAGGCCATAGCAGAGAGCTGGATGGGAAGTAGAGCAACTGAGACTCGAACCAGTGCCCATATGGGATACCCGCACTGCAGGCGGCAGATTTACCGCTATGCCACAGTACCAGCCCCTGATCTTTGTTCTTTGTCATGGTTTCTGGACAGCCACAGGTGAAACTTAGGTCTGCTAAAAACTCTTTCCCCCCCAATTCACTCCTTGTGTCCTTGCTCCCCCAGATGGATACTGCGTGCCATCTTGTTTTAGAGTCAGGGTATTTATTTTTGCAAGCTGTTTAGACCTGATTTGCATGTTGATGTGTTAGGAACCCTACTGTATGAAAAATAACGTGTCTGTCCCAGAGCAGAAAATCTCCAAGGAGGTGGCTCCTGGGGTGAGGAGGTCTTCACCATCTTAGACTTGGGGTTCAGCTCAGGTTCATCTCTTTTTCCTAACTTTCTCCTGGCATGTGCTGCCGAGACCCGTTGTCCCGGGGCTTGCGGTGCCATCTGTGTGCCCGCCTCGTGCTCATGCCCCATGGGAGCCCCTGGCAGGCCGGGAGAGCAGGCAGTTCTGCGCCTCTGACCCTGGCAGTGCCGGCACACGCAGGCTGTTGGGATGGGGGGCTGTGGAGGAGGCTGCTGCTTGGGTCTTGCTGACTCTGTCCTGTGTCCATGGAAGACACAAATGAGGGACTGAGAGGTGCGGAGGCTGTGAGTGTTGCTAGGCAACTTCTGTGCCCAGCCTGCAGGAGCATAGTCTCCAGGAGCGCGGTGGAGGGAGGGCCTCCCAGGGATATGCAGGGACTTCAGGAAGTGCACCTGCAGCTCGCGCCTCGCCGCGGGGTGGCCAGGGGCACGGTGCCCAGGTGTGCCCTAAGCCTTGCCCAAAGGCTGCCTCCCTGTTGTCTTTGCTTGTGATGTCTGCTTTTTTATGTGTGTTTGTCCTCCACCTTGTGCTAAAGAGGTGGTTTTGGAAGAACATGGAGCAAAGGGAAGGGAAGGGGAGGCAAGCAGGGATGCAGTGGGTCGTCAGTGAGCATTGATTGGTATGTGCCATGTGCCTCACGCTGTTGATAAAGCAGTGAGCAGAAAACAGCCAGGGTTCCAGCCTTCCTGGAGCTCACAGTCTAACAGGAGAGGTGTGCAAAGAAAAAAGCCCACAAGTCCCAAGCTTCTTCTAGGCCTGTCAGACTCTGAGTCTCCTAGAAGCCACAGCAGGAAGGGAACATTATCTGAGGTCTGGGTTTGCTGGCAGTGCCAAGCTCGTGACAGTGCAGCCACAGAAACCCTGCCCTGTGGGAGAGTGGGATCCTGGCGTCCCACTGGGAGCCACACTAGGGCTTCCTCACCCTCTTCTATGGACAGCCAGGGCCGGCCTGCCACCCCAAGGAAGCGTTGGGTGGACGGATACTGGCGTTCCTTGGAAGAGCAACGGTTGACGAGGGAACTTGGAAATGTCTCCGGGAAATGGAAGCAACACAGAAGTTGATGTTGGTGTAGGAAATTTTGAAATCCATGCATTGTTTTTGTCTTAACATATTTTCTGAGTGTTTGAGGACCTGTCGTCTGTGTGGGTCAGAGTGCCAGTCAGTAGTGTAGAAATAAGGACCCAGGCAAGCAAAGTGAGTTCAGACCCTGTGACCCTTCTGTGTGTCTTGGTCCCAGAGCCCCTTTCATCCTGAGCACCTGCTGGGGCTTGGGCTCATTAGGTAGAGTCCGCCCTCCAGTGCAAGACCCTGGTGTGCAGCACACCCTTGTACAGTTATGCACACGCGAGCAGGAAGGGCTCCCCTCCCTCCATCTTGGAAGCATGCGTCTGTTAATGCAGCCTGGATGCGCAGCAGCCACCCTGAGGCACAGGTGTAGGAGGCCTGCGCAGGGCGGAGCCTAGAACAGGAGGGCCAGGAGCAAATGGCTTGGTGCAGGCATGGGGAAGAGTGAGTGGTCATGTGCTGCTGCCCGCCCCCCTCGCCCCCCGGCCCTGGATTCTGCCCAGGGTGTGAGACAGTGGTCGTCTGCTCCTGTGGGAATCAGGAGAGCTGACGGAGCCTCTCTAATACCAGGCACACGGGACTGCCCAGATCAGTCACTGCTGGTACCACAGCCTGCGCTGTGCACCGGGCAAGGTGCACCACTAGGGGGCAGCAGGAATGCCGAGAGAGACCTCATCTGCAGCGCAGAGCCCGCGGTGGGGGAGAACTGAGCAACGCTGGGGTGCACCCAGGACAGGCAGTGCTTGAAGACTGCAGTGCGTGGAGGTCATCAGAGCAGACACAGGCGCCAGGCCCAGCTCACCTGCGGACTGCTTCATGCACCAGCAGTCTCATGAAGAACATTCTCCAGTTTGGGGTGTATTTGCTGCATCTCTACCATTTTTCCACATGTAATGTGTACTCAACGTGAATGTGTCACACACACATACCCCTCAAATGATGTCTGGCCACTAGACAAGAGACAAAGTAATCGATAGAAGTAGACCAAAGTTTCATCAGACGCTGGAGTTACTCATCAGGAATTGCACGTGACTGTGACAAATGTGCAGAGGATCTGCTGAAGAAGGCAGTGCACTAACGCGTGGGGATTGCAGCAGAGGTGTGGGAACTATAAAGAAGAACTAGAGGGAAACATGAGTGTAAAAGGATGAGAGCCGTGAGAAGTCTACAGCCGCACTCAACAGAAGACTGGACACAGCACAAGAGAGGGTCACTGAACTTAAAAACATGTCAGTAGGAATGATACAGGTTGAAGAAAAAATGATAAAGTGCAAAAATGAAATTTCTGAGTTGTATGGGAACTCCTACATGGTCTAACATATATATAAGTGGAGAAGATGTGAGAGAAAGTAGAAGTATACAAAGAGGTGGTGAACAAATATTTTCCAAGAAAATGAAACACCACAGCTCAGGTCTCTCCACCTCTCAAATAGATGTATATATGTGTGTGCAAACACGCACACACACATAATTTCAAATAAGCATAACTAAATGGTCAGTAGAGAAGATGAAATGCTGAAAATACTTGTTTAATGTCAATAAAACAGGATAGGAAGAACCTCCCCCCCCCCAAAAAAAAGAATGAAATAACAAAAATCAAATTCAATTTTGTTATATGTAAAATTTGGAAAAAATATATAATTCCATTAAATGTAAATGTATTAATTTTCATAATTAAAAAGCAGAGGTTGTCAGACTGGATATGGATCAAGACTCAATTATAGGGGCTGTGGCGCAGCAGGTTAACACCCTGGCCTGAAGCACCAGTATCCCATATGGGCATTGGTTTGAGTCCCAGCTGCTCCTCTTCCAATCCAGCTCTCTGCTATGGCCTGGGAAAGCAGTAGAAGGTGGCCCAAGTTCTTGGGCCCCTGCACTGGCATGGGAGACCCAGAGGAAGCTCCTGGCTTCAGATCGGCACAGCTCTGGCCGTTGTGGCCATCTAGGGAGTGAACCAGCAATGGAAGACCCCTCTCTCTCTCTCTCTCTCTGCCTCTCCTCTCTCTGTGTAACTCTGACTCTCAAATAAATAAATACATCTTTTAAAAAGAGACCCAATTATAGGTGGTTTGTGTGAACTACAACTTCAGGACACAAACAGGCTGAAAGAACGGTGCTGGAAAAGATAGCGTGCAAATACTATGTGGAAGGAAACAGGTGATGCCATAGTGCTGTAGGAAGTGGTAAGCTTTGAGGTGCCGAAAGGATAAGGGACTTTATGTAGTGATAGTAGAGGGTTTCATTAATCAGGATGACCTACAAATCCAGTGTATATGATAGCAAATCTCCAAAATACATGAAGTAAAAATTGACAGAATTAAAGAAAACCCTATGTTTCTGCTCATAGCATAAGACTATGCCCTCTTGATAATTTTTAGTTGGAAAAATGAGCAAATATATACCAATGACCCAGTCTAATGGACAACAAAACCAAAATGCATGTGCTTGTGTAGTGCATATGGAACACTCCTCAAAATACAGCATGAGGTGGGCCATGAATAATCCCAATACATTTCTAAGGTTTAACTTTGTAAAAAAGATGTTTCTTTGAAATGCAGAGTGCAGGCTGGCACCACGGCTCAATAGGCTAATCCTCCACCTGTGGTGCCGGCACACTGGGTTCTCTAGTCCTGGTCGGGGTACCGGATTCTGTCCCGGCTGCCCCTCTTCCAGGCCAGCTCTCTGCTATGGCCCAGGAGTGCAGTGGAGGATGGCCCAAGTCCTTGGGCCCTGCACTCGCATGGGAGACCAGGATAAGCACCTGGCTCCTGGCTTCAGATCAGCACGATGCGCCGGCTGCAGCGGACATTGCGGGGTGAACCAACAGCAAAAGGAAGACCTTTCTCTCTGTCTCTCTCTCTTTCTCACTGTCCACTCTGCCTGTCCAAAAAAAAAAAAAAAAATGCGGAGTGCAGAGAAGGGGGAGATAGTGTGAGAGAGATATGGATCTTCCATTAGCTGGTTCATTCCCTAAATGCCTAGAAGAGCCAAGGATGGGCCAGGCTAAAGCCAGGAGCCGAGAACTCCATCCAGGTCTCCTTGGATGGCTGGCAAGAACCCGAATACTTGAGACGTCATCTGCTGCCTCCCAGGAGCATTGGCAGGAAGCCCTCTAACCAAGAACTCCAATATGGGAAATGGGCGTCCCAAGAAGTGGCTTAACCTGCACCCAACACCCACCCCAAAGCATTTACTTTCTCAGTGTATTCTCTGAACACAATGCCATCAAATTAGAAATAAGTAACAAGATACCTAGAAAATTCCTCAGACATTTGCAAACAGTAGCATATGATTAGATAACCTGTGCATCAAAGAAATCCAGGGAAATTAGAAAGTATTTGAAATTTAATGATGAAAGATGTTACAATTTGGAAGATGCACAAGATGCACAAAACTTAAAAGGGAAATAGATAGCTTAAAATGCTTCTGTCAGAGAGAGAAAGTGCAAGATCGGTGACCTTAGCTTCCACCTCAAATGGTAAGAGATGAGCAAATGAAGCCCAAATAAGAGTGGAAAATATTGAAAAAAGAAAAAGAAAAAATAGGGCAAGGTTGAAATAGTTTTTCTTTTTTTAAGATTAATAAAAATTAACATTGAGAAAAACTGATCCAGGGAAAAGATGTGAATGATCAGCACTGGACATGAAGATGGGGCTATCGCACATGGTGCATACACCTTACAACCAGCAGCTTAGGCTAATTAATTCCATAATGAGGGCTTCCCAGGTGCACCCAACAGAAGCAGAAAATACAAGCCCTAGATTTCTTGAGGAAATTGAAAGTTAAATTATTTCTAGCAAATTTCTGGGCCCACATCATTTCTCCATTGAGTTCTTTCAAATCTTTAAGGAAGGGATAAAATCAATTACTGTGCCCACTGTTTTTAGAGAATAGAGTACTGGGAATACTTTGGGGAGTCCAGACTCAGCAAAAACCAGGCCAAGGGCATCACAGAAAGGAAAGTTACAGACCCAAGTGCTTCATGAGGGTAGATGTGAGAATTCTTTTTAAAAACAAGCAAATGAAATCCAGTAACATAGAGAAATGGATAAGGTAGCTTTTATTCCAGGAATGTAAGATTAGTAAATTTTTTTAAAAACTTTTCAGACTAGTTTTAAATTTACAAAACAAAAATCGTGAAGTAGTACAAGGAGTTCCCGGGTACCCCCACAGCTTCCCTTGTTATTGAGGTCTCTAGTAGGGTGTGTATGTCACAGTGAGCCATGCCCGGCTGCTTCTAGGTATTGTAACCCAAACTCCTGCTGTCCCGCCCAGCGTCAGCAGTCAGATTGCCGCTTGTTTTAGCTCCCACACGTGAGAGGAAACAGGCAGCATTTGCCTTTGCTTCTCTCTTACTCCACTTAACATTATGTCCTCAGTTCCATCCATTGCTTCTGCAAATGAAAAGATTTCAATTTTTAATGACGGAATAGTATTCTATCTATGTGCACCACATTTTTTATGCATTTATCTCATGATACTTTGATTGCATAGTTTGGCTAATAAACATGACAGAACGTGTATCTCTTTGATACAATGTGTTCATGTCTTCCAGATATATACCCAGTAGGGTTGCTGGATCATGTGACAGTTCTGCTTCTTGTTTCTAAGGACCTCTCCATCTCCATACTGTTTTCCATACTAATTTACATTCCCAGCAATGGTGTGTGAGAGTTCCTTTTACCCCATCTTTGTCAGAATGTATTACTTTGTGTCTTCTGGATAACAGCCATTCTTCCAACAGGGATGAGGTGAGACCTCATTGTGGTTTTGAGCTGCATTTCCCTGATGACTGGTGATGGTGAGCTTTTTTTTTTTTTTTTATTTGTTGTCCATCTGTATTTCTTTTGAGAACTGTCTATTCAGGTCTCTTGACCATTTCTTTTTCTTTCTTTCTTTCTTTTTTTAAGACTTAGTTATTTGAAAGGCAAACTACAGGGTGACAGAGGGAGGAAGGGAGGGACGGAGAGAGACACAGAATGAGAGAACACGCTTCTACCCACTAATGCATTCCTCAAGAGGCTGCAACAGCTAGGGTTGGCCCAGGCTGAAGCTGGGAGCCTGGAACACTATCTGGGTCTCCCATGTGATGGCAAAGGCCAAAGGGCTTGGGCCATCTTTCTGCTGCTTTCCCAGACACATCAGTAGGGAGCTGGCTCAGAAGTGGAACAGTGGGGACTCGAACTGGCTTTCTGATGGGGATGCCGGTGTGGCATGTGTGCCCCGCAATGACTGCCCTATTTCCCTGTTTCTTAATTGATTACATTGTTATTGTTTTTGTTTTTTGTTGACTTTTCTGAGTTCTTGCTAGATTGTGGATATTAATCCTTTGTTAGGTAAATAGCTTGCGCACACTTTCTCTCATTCTGTGACGTGTCTTACGGTTCTGGTGGTCTCTCCCTTTGCTGTGCGGAAGCTGCCAAGTTGGATATAATCCCATTTGTCTAGTTTTGCTTTTGATGACTGAACTTGGGGGATCTTGTCTATGGAATCATTGCCTGCACTAATGTCTTCAAGTGTTTGCCCTCCTTTCTTCTAGCTCCAGGTACCACATCCAGGTCTTTGATCCATCCTGAGTTGATTGTTGTTATGGTGAGAGGTAGCGATCTAATTTCATTCTTTTACAGTTTTGCCAGACCACTTATTGGAAAGACTATCCTTTCTACAATATATGTTCTTGGCACCTTTGTCAGATATGTTCCTGTGCAAATACCATGTTGTTTAAATATTGTGGGTTTGTAATAGGCTTTGAAATTGAGTATTTTGATGCTTCAAATCTGATTTTTTTTTTTTTTTTTTTTGGCTCAGGATTGCTCTGGCTATTCTGGGTCATTTGTGTTTGCATGTGAATTATGGGCTTGTTTTTGTCTACTTCAGTGAAGAGTGTAATTGGTACTTTGATAGGGATTTCATTGAATGTGTAGCTTGCTTCAGGTAGTATGGTCATTTTAACAATATTAATTCTTCTAACCCACGAACAATGATATCTTTACAGCTTTTGGTGTATGTCCTTGGTTTCTTTCACTGTCTTGTAATTTTCACTGTAGGATCTCTCAGTGCTGTGGTTAAATTTTTCCTAAATATTAACTATTTGGCAGCTTCTGTGACTGGAATCTCATGTTTTCTCTTTCAGGAAGATCATTATTGGTATCTAAAAATGTTACTTTTTTGCATGTTGATTTTACAGCATTTGACTTTACTGATTTTTTGACATTTAAATAAATCAATCAGTAAAGGTAGGCATTTGGTACTGTGGTTGACAGTGCTTGGGATGCCCACATCCCATACTGCAGGGCTCGGGTTTGAGTCTCCACTTCACTTTCAACCCAGCTTCCTGCTCACCCTGGAAGGCAGCAGTGATGGCTCAAGTAGGTGGGCCCTGGGCTCTCGGCTCTAGCCTGGTCCAGCCCAGCTGCTGTGGCATCTGGGGAGTAAACAAGCAGGTGTAAGATCTCTCTCTCTCTCACTCCCTCACTCTCTCTCTCTGGCTCCCTGTTAATTTACCTTTCAAATATATGAAAAACAAATTGATAAAACCTTTTTAAAAATATAATCAGCTGATTAAAGGAGAAAATCCAACATTCAGTCAAGATAAAAACTCTCAGGAAATTAGGAATAGAAGAGACCTTCTCAATCTGACTGTCTACAAAAATCCCAGCGTGCTTGTAGGTGATTGAATGCTTTTGTTCAGAGACTGGAGCAAAGCAGCGGCGTTGCTAAGTCTTGCACAAAATAAAAACAAATCTAAAGGACATAACAATTGGCAAGGAGGAAGTAAATTCTCTTTATTTGCAAGTGACATGATTTTGTACGAAGAAATTCCTAAGAAATTTTTTAAAAATGAGCAGATGTAATTTATTTTGCAATGTCTCAGGGTATAAAAAAGTTAAAAGTCCACATATTAGCAATAAATAATTAGCAATGAAAAATCTGAAATAACATTATGGCACAAAAATTCAAATACTTAGGGATAAATTTAATGAAATTCCCATAAGCTAGGAAACCATAAAACATTGCTAAGAGAAATTAAAAAACTAAATAAGCGAAGAGATACGCCATCTTCATGATTGGAAAACTTGACATTATTAAGATGTCAACTCTCCCAAATCGATCAGTCCCAAATTTTCTTTGACTAAATGATTTTTAAATTTGTATGGCAAGGCAATAGACCTTAAGAAGGTTGAACAAATTAGAAAAACTCATTCTACCTGATATTTTGTTGAGAGATATTAACATTCCCATAAAAGTCCTTGTATAAGAGTCAGCAGTGGCTTGAGCCGCTGCTTGCATTTCCAGCATCCCATTTCAGAGCACCGATTCGAGTCCCTGCTGCTCTCCTTCCAATCCAGCTTCCAGCGAATGTGCCTGGGGAGGCAGCAGGTGACGCCAATGCTCGGGTCCTTGGGAGAACAGGATGGAGGTCCTGGCTCTTGGCTCCAGCCTGGCATAGTCACGGCCATTGTGGCCATTTGGGGAATGAGCTAGCTGATGGAAAAGTGGTCTCTGTTTCTGTCCCTCTCTCCCTCTGCTTCTCAAATAAACCTTTGAAAAAAGAAGTCCTTGTATAAGACTGCATAGAAACCTCATTCATAAAACTCTACAACCGAGGAACATCCCCCGTGTTCCTTGGTGAAGAGTGGGTAACCATACTGCGTGTACTATGTCAGAATACTAAGCAGGACACCTGGACCAGCCCCTAGTGCATGCAGGGTCGTGCATGGGTCGAAGAACTGTTGAGGGCTTGAAGCTGGACGTGCATGAGAAAACGCACCCTAAACGAGGTGCTTCCAAGAAGTCTGAGCTGGGACAGCTAGCCTCTGGTGACAGAAATCAAGTGAGTGGTTCATCCTGGGGGTGAGGAGGGACTTAATGCGTGACAGAAGTGTCCTGTGTCTTCCTTCGAAGTCATCAGAATGGTGTGAATAGGACATTCCAGACCTGAGCATTTTATTATAAGTATGTAAAGTATACCTTAATGCAAAAAAAAAAAAAAAGTCAAAAAACCCATGAGGAACGCAAATAGCACTTTCTTTGGGCTTCAAAGCACAGATAAGAGTGCAGGAACTGCGTTTAGATAACCCCGTGGGCACCGCTTGCCTTGGGATGGGAAGGTACGGCGCTGCTGGTAGGAGATTACAGGAGCGCTCCAAGCTTTGATCCCGTTTTCCAGAGCGCGGAGTGGGGAAGCCGAATCTGCCCGTCCAGCCTGAGCTTCAGGGGAAGCCAGGGGCCGAGGGAAGAAGGGGCTCCTGCTTGCCGCGTGGCACGTGGGCCGGATGTCCCTGTGGGCTCTGGGACAGCGGGGCAGACGTGCCCACGGAGACCAGCCCCCGACGTGTCGGCGTCTGAATCTGCAGCTCAGGAGATGCTGTTCGCCCACTTCAAAAGCTGGGAGCCGTCCTGGTTATCTCCTCCAGGAGCCCAGCTTGCCCCTGTCTCCCGGGCCGTGACATCAAAGCGTCTGTTTCCTTGCGAAGCCGTCTGGCGCAAGGGCGTCAGGCCGGAGCCCCTCTGGAAGGGACTGCAGAACCAGCGGTGAGTCAGCACCTGCCCCGCCCTCTGGGCTCGTCCTCCGCCCGTGTGGCTGGCGGGGGCTGCTCTGGCCTTGGCTCTGCAGCCTGCCCAGGGCACACTTGTCTCGCCAGAGGCCCAGCGAGGGGAGGGCAGGTGTCCTTGTTGTGGTTTAGGGCACTGATAGCAATTTCGGTTGAACTGGGACGTCACACTGACTCGCCTTGGCGACTGACAACGTGACCTCCCCCTTTCCTTTCTTCCTCCTGTGGGAGTGCCCTGGTGACAGCTCCCACTCAGGCTCTCAGGTGAGGATCCTCCTTGTTTCCTTACCAGATACGATTTATCCTCCTAAAATAATGCAGATGTGCGCGCCTAGATGGGCCTTTAAAACGGAAGATGTTAGCCGATTACTGGGAAACAACACGGGGGTGAAAGCTTGCTTCCCCGGTGCTGTGTCTGCTCCCTGGTGCTCACTTTGGACGGTAGAAGTGTGCGCTTGCCGCTCCCCCTGCTCACGGTTCCCACCTCGCTACATTGTGCCACAGATGCGAAGTTTCACTTTAATTTGGATTCTGGTCCTGTGCTTACGGAGGTACATGAAGACCCCGGGCTTCGTAAATCTTTTTTTGTTTTCCCACTTTTATTTTTAAATAGATCCAAAGTTTACATCCATTCAGCTGACCTTTTCGATCCTAAGAGCTATTTTATAAGGCAGCAGAAGTGAAAGTTATCAGCGAGGCTGGCTAATGTAAAGTATTTATGAATGAATGTGCAGAAACCGATCGGGGGTGTAAAACGCCGGGCTGGGCGCAGGCAGAGCTGCCTGTGGCTCGAGCCTTCTTCGCAGTAAAGCATAATTCATGCTGCTGCTAGCCCTTAAAACAGGAAATAATATACCCATTTAACTTAATCACAATTTATATTACATGTGCATATTTCTAAACAAATGTTGTAGATGGAGAGTTTGGTAGCAATAATATTTATGAATTACACTTTTAGTTAGCAAAGGGAATGTATGACCTCTTACATTTGGCTTGACATTTGAATTTGGTGTTCGGCGTATTTGACAGGCATGATGGATTCTCATTAGCTCCATATATAAACAGGAAATGCTTCCTCGGTGAGCAGTTATTCATGTAGGGCATCCCTGAATTTGAATTTTCATTTGCTTATCCTGGTCCAGACTGAGAAATTTTATGTAAAGAAAAGAAAGTGAGGC